GCACCACTGTGCTCCAACCTGGACAACAGAGTAAGGCTCTGTCTCCAAAAAAAACAAAAAACAAAAAAAGGCAGGGCACAGTGGCTCATATAATCCCAGCACTTTAGGAGGCCGAGGCGGGCGGATCACGAGGTCAGGAGATCGAGAGCATCCTGGCTAACATGGTGAAACCCCGTCTCTACTAAAAAATACCAAAAATTAGCCAGGCGAGGTGGCGGGCGCCTGTAGTCCCAGCTACTCAGGAGGCTGAGGCAGGAGAATGGCGTGAACCCTGGAGGAGGAGCTCACAGTGAGCCGAGATCGCGCCACTGCACTCCAGCCTGGGACACAGAGCGAGACTCCGTCTCAAAAAAAAAAAAAAGAAAACCACCTCATAGAAGCTCTCTGTTGCTTCCACAAATATACTTTGAACAAAATTTAATGCACTTCGAACAGTACCTGTCACAAACTAAATGCTCAATACACATTAATTATTTTAATCTACCGTAATTATTAACTATCGCCATCATCATACCACTAGACTATCGACATCGTTGAGGAAGGTGGTAATTCAGTCTGCTGCATGTGCTGGTCAAAGTGCATTACTTGTAATTACTTGTAGAACTGGTAGAGAAGAGGGAAACAGATCTGAAAAATTTTTCAAATCTACAACCTGGACATGTAGTAGTGACATTTTTCAGGAAAGAAATCCAGTGGTGCTGGAGAGCAATCACTTGCTAAAGACGTTAGCATGGATAAAAGGGAGCCAGGTGCTAACAGTCAGAACAATGGGGAAAGACCCTGAAGGCATCTCAGACATCTCTGAGGCTGCCTCTCCCATCAGAGGCCCAGAGACCTAGGAGGACAGCATGGTTTGGGGAGACAGGCCCAGGGCACAGCTGGCCTGGAACACCTCAAGGAGTCCTGGAACGTCCCGCATGCTGCTCCAACACCCAGCTGCTGCAGTCACAGAACGTCTACCTAATGACTGTACAACCATCTTATCCTGGAAAAAAATAATTCGTTTTCGGTTTTACAGGCTCATAGCTCGAAGGAACTTGCTTTGATTCTCAGACTTTGAACCTCGAAGTTGATGCTGGAACAAGTTAAGAATTTTAGGGACTACTGGAATTGTATTTTGCATGTGAGAAGGATGAGAGCTGGGTGGTCAGGGGTGGAATGCCATGGTTTGGATGTCTGACCCCTCCAAATCTCACGCTGAAATTTAATCCCCAATGTTGGAGGTGGGGACTAATAGGAGGTGTTTTTTTCATGGAAGCTGATCCCTCATGAAGCCTTGGTGCCATCCTCACAGTAATGAGTGACTCCTCACTCTACTAGTTCCCACTAGAGCTGGTTGCTAAAAAGAGCCTGGCACGCCACAGCCCACCCCACCTCTTGCTTCCTCTCTCACCATGTAATCTCTGTATACACCAGCTCCATGAGTGGAAGCCTAAATCTTTCAGCAGAAGCAGATGCTGGTGCCATGCTTCTTGTACAGCCTTCAGAAACATGAGTCAAATAAACGTCTTTTCTTTATAAATTACCCAGCCTCAGGTATTCCTTTATAGCAACACAAATGGATGAAGACAACTTCCATATCTTTAAATCTGTAGCAGCATCTGTAACAAGCCTTGGACACAGCAGACATGCAGTGAAGATGTGTTCTGCTAACGGAAAAAGTAAGTCAACATTTTTGAAACCCCACTAGACGAAGGCATGTGGGAGGCAATAGGCTGCAAATGAGATTTCTATCTTAAAGTAGTTTATAATCTCAAGACCAAAGATATGTAAATTACTTATACAATCAACAGGGACTGCACACATGTAAATACGAAGGAAGTTCCTGGAATGGTTGCATTTGTCAGGATTAGGCTGAGAACACTGAGGCTCAAGTTAAAAGGAGTAAGAATTGCGAGGCCATTCAGCCACAAATAATTACTCCAAAGAGGTACAAAGCAACAGTATTCAAAGAATAGCAAGAACATCTCCAAGAGTGCAGTAAAGAACAGCATCATTAGCCAATGGGGGTGAGCTTTTAAGAGTGGCTGGCAGAGGGCCTGGAGACAGCAATGCAAAGCCAGAGCCTGAGCTTCTTTAAAGCCTATTTAGTAAGGTTCCCACTTTGGGAAGGAGTGTGTCAAGAATAGATGGGAGGGGAAGGCTAGAATAAGAAGCCTGACAATACATACTAGAGATATACAGCAGACAGGACACCCTGGCTGTCCGCACTATTCTCAAGCGGGAATTTGGGACAACACATTTAAGAGCCCATCTTGGCACAAATGCCATGATAGCCCTGAGTGCCAGAGCAGCGGCACTTGAATCTGAAACCTCTTCTTAGAGTAAGACTATTTATTTCTCTCTGTCTCATAAGGCTTACCACAGTCTATACAGCAAAATGACTTAGAGCAACTGCTGAGATCTGGGTTCAGATCTCAGTTCTGACACTCATTAGATGTACGACCTCAGGGAACATACTTAACCTTACTTAGCCAGGAATAAAATGGGGACAACTACTATACCCACCCCTTAGGTAGGGATATACAAAATGCTGAGCAAAGTGAATAGCCCAGTAAGTTCTCAGCCAGTATTATTAAGAAAATGTAGAATAAGGTATGGATTTTCAGACCCCTTGCATCAACACCACAGTGCTCCAGAGATCCTTGATACTCAAGTTGGGAGTCACTGTCCTGGAATACAAATAAAAAACATAGAAGAGCAGTCCATTCCCTCTGCAAGTGTTTATGTGGTAGCTACAGAATTCAGCACTATGATAGGGGTACATACGCCAGTGCAACACCAAATGAGGTGACAATGTAGAGGGCAAATGCTGTAGGGAAGAAAAAAACACTGGGGCAAAGATTCAAACCAGCCTGAAAGCCACGCAGGTGTTTTAAGTTGGAAATGAAATGAGGAACCAAAAAATTCTGGTCAGGGAGTGGTCTGCTGAGTGTGGTGCTTCAGGTAGACTCCCATGACAGGCTGCAGGACAAACTAGAGTGGGGGTCCACCTCCACACCTTCCTGGCCACTCAGTTCCATCCAAATGACTGCTCTTAAAAGTCAAAATTAGGTTCTGTTTCTAATCTGCACTGATTTATACTGCTGGTCACGTAAATTGGTATAGGCCACACCAACACAGCACATTAACATCTTAACTAATTTCCTGACAATACTAAAATCAAATCTCTACTTTCCAGAGATTATATAAACTTGGTAAACATTTGAGCTTCAGGTCCAGTCTGACAAAACGGAAAAAAAAGGGATTCATCTGCAGAAAGGTCCCAGCATTAGAAAACAAAGAGAAGGGGGAGGACAGTATGTAGGCCCTGACCTTTTTTACTGCCTCAATTCAAGGATTCAGTTTCTCAACCTCAGATCCTTGCCCTCTTCCTCAAACTCAGATCCACCTCTTACTAGTTTTCAAACTCTTGTCTATTATGATTACCTTAAGCAAAGCAAGATGCATGAATAACCAGCAGTAAATCAGGTATTCAATAGTTGAAATTGTGTAATATTCTGTGACTGTGCATCTGGCCAATTTCAACTTCTCCTTCTCTCTAATTTTTTTTTTGTTTTTTTGAGGCAGGATCTCACTCTCTTGCCCCAGACTGGAGTACAGTGGTGCCATCACTGCTCACTGCAGCCTCAAACTCCTGGACTCAAGTGATCCTCCTGCTTCAGCCTCCCAGTAGCTAGCACTACAAATGAGCACCAACATGCCTGCCTAATTTTTTTTTTTTTTTTTTTTTTTTTTTGTAGAGACAAGGTCTCAGTATGTTGCCCAGGCTGGTCTCAAACTCCTGGCCTCACCTCAAGCAATCCTCCCGCCTCTGCCTACCGAAGTGCTGAGATTTCAGTTATGAACCGCTGCCTCCTGCCCACTTAGCCTTTTCTAACACTAGAGAACTTTCAGAGTGGTTTCAATGCCAACCGGACACTTCCCAGCGATTTAACCTCAGGCCAATCAAACTCCCATATGCCTCCGTTTCCACATCGAGACAATAAAAGTACCTCCTCAAAGAGTGTTATGAGAACTAAATGACTTAATATTAGTCAAGCGACTGGAACATAATAGACACAATATGTATTAGCCATTTTCATCTTTATTTGTGTTATATCGGCCACCACCCAGAGATACCCAGGAGCACATACATCACATTCTTTCTACGGCAATATGCGGGCATGATTACTTCATGACCATTGAATCTCAAACAGCACAGCTTTTCATAAAGCACAGTGGTCGGATCCTACCTATTGCAACACCTCTAAGAGACGACTCTCACCAACCAGCCATGCCCAGCCTGGGACATTCCGAAGCCCTCCTCCTGATGACCTTACTCGAGGAACTTATTCCTTTGGAAATGGAACCTAGCCTCACTTTTGGACCAGTGTGTCTCAGATACACGTCCAAACGTGGGAACCTGAATCCCAGAAGTTGGTGTGATTTTTTAAAGTTTTTCAAGTTCTTTTTCCTAAACATGTCCTAGTGGGTGACTCCACAGCATCACTTCCTTTCATGTTCTCTTTTCTATCTGGAAAGCCGGTGACAGGGCACGAAACCAGCAAAGCACCCTTTTTCCTGCTTCCCAAACATTAGCAGGTAAGCGCCCCGTGAGCCGAGATACATCAAGAAGACTTCACCCGCAAGTTCATTGATCACCAGTTCTTTTCCCCTCCCGGCACCAGCAGCTGCGAAGCACGAAATGGGCTTGGAGGAAGAGACGCTGCGGTCACCTGAGGGGCAGGTGCGAGCAGGCGGTCCTGCCCCGGTGTGAGGGCGACATCCCGCGCGGCACACACGCTCACAGCCCCCAGGGGAAGACCAGAGGCACTCGATGCACCCAGCACACCCCACACACAACACACTAACGGCACCGCACCTTCCGTCCCACCTCCCGGCAGCAGACCCCTTCCGGGACGCCGAGGGCTGTTCCTGGAGACACCGCAGCCCGCGAGGAGCGGCGCGCAGGGAGAGCACGCGTGCCCAGGCCGGCGCGCCCCCGCCCCCACACTCACCTGGCCCGTGATGCCGGTGATGAGCGCCACGTTCCTGGGCTTGCCCATCTCGCCGTCCCCGGAGCCCCGGGCGCTGGAGCAGCGTGCCGGTGCGTGTGCCATGTCCCGCGGCGGGCGTGCGGTCGGCGGCAGGGCGGAGCGCGGCAGAGGGCAGGCGCGGCGCCGGCAGGAACGCGGGTGTGTGCGGCGCGAAGCGCCTCTCCAGGCTGCGGGCAGGGAGAGAGAGCGCACCGCGCGACCGGCCGCCACAGTCTGACAGGGGCGCACGGGAGGCCGCGCGGGGAGGGCCGGGGGCGGGACGAGCCGGCCGAGGCGGGCCCGACGGCCAAGCAGCGGGGCTGCGGCCTGACTGGCGCCGCGTCATTCGCGTCAACCGGCGACGCTGTGGCAGGCCCCGCCCCTCCGCTGACGGCCGCCGCGCGGGGCGGGGCCTGCCGCCGCCGCCTGAGGGAAGAGGAAGGAGGCCGCGGCTTCGCGTCCCGCCTCTCGCCTGGCTGGCCATGGGCGGCCTGGACCCAGTTCCCTTGTCCTCCCCGGCGGCCGCTCGAATCTCCCAGGAATCCTAATGTCACCCGAGGATGCTGGGAGGAACGCTGAGCCGACCTCTCCATTGGGCTAAAGGTCTGAATTTTCAAACCCTGGGGTCTTTGTTGACTCCTGGACTTTGATGACTCCTGGAAACCTGTCGCAGCGCCTTTGAGAAGCCTGGTTTATCGTACCTGAAGGGCGCTGGCGTTGCAAGGCCCCGAAACGGGGGTTGCAGATGTGGGAGTGACTAACGAGGCTGGCTCTTGCTCTTCTGGCGTTCCCTGAGGTCGGAACCAGGAACGAGGTTCCAAATAGCTGAATTCAACGTGTTCTGTTCTGGGGACTGGCAGTGCACAAGCAAGTCCCTGGCCCCACCCGTATGCAGCATAAGGAAATGTTGAAAAGACTGCCCGGGTCAATAAACCTGGACGTGGCAAATTTCAAAGAAAGTAATTCAAACACAGGTGAGGTCCTGGCTTCTATCTATTGGATTTGGCTGCCATTTGGCAGCTGCTCGTTGGACAGGGAGAGACGAGGAGGTGACTCAGACCTGGAGGACAGCAGGTGTGTGTGCCTAAGCAGTTGGCTGCAGTCCAGGGCAGAGCCGGAAACTTCCCGGTCTCCGTTGCTCTGCTTCTCTGTCCTTATTCCTCCCCCTAATCGATAACCTCAGATCATTGTTTCAAATCAGAGTTACTAGGGCTGTGCCCATTATAACATGCAAGAGTATGTATAGCAGACCTGGAACCCGAAAATCAGAAAAGCTTAGGATTAATTTAAAACCTCCCTCTCCCGCTCCGCGAAGTCCGTTAGGAATATTTCTTAGCTTTGTAGATAGACGGGTCTGGTTTCACACCCAGCCTCTCTGCGTTCTATGAGGAGAATGGCTGAAGGAACATCTGGTGCGCCAGTAGGATGCTGCCTCTGAGTGATGAAGGGACCCTGAAGCTGAGGAAAGGGAACACTTCCATTGAGAGGAACGTAGGCCGGGCGCGGTGGCTCAAGCCTGTAATCCCAGCACTTTGGGAGGCCGAGACGGGCGGATCACGAGGTCAGGAGATCGAGACCATCCTGGCTAACACGGTGAAACCCCGTCTCTACTAAAACTACAAAAAAACTAGCCGGGCGAGGTGGCGGGCGCCTGTAGTCCCCGCTACTCGGGAGGCTGAGGCAGGAGAATGGCGTGAACCCGGGAGGCGGAGCTTGCAGTGAGCTGAGATCCGGCCACTGCACTCCAGCCTGGGCGACAGAGCGAGACTCCGTCTCAAAAAAAAAAAAAAAAAGAGAGAGGAACGTGCTATAAGCTAGAAATGTCTGTGGAATATACAGGAATATGCTACAACTATATTCGTTTTCATGTAAATACGCTTTAAATTAATGCATGAACAAATTATTTAACATTTTCCTGAAAAAATCACTGAGCGGCCGGGCGCGGTGGCTCACACCTGTAATCCCAGCATTTTGGGAGGCCGAGGCGGGTGGATCACGAGGTGAGGAGTTCGAGACCAGCCTGACTAACATAATGAAACCCTGTCCCTACTAAAAATACAAAAATTAGCTGGGCCTGGTGATGCGTGCCTGTAATCCCAGTTACTCAGGAGGCTGAGGCAGGAGAATCGTTTGAACCAGGGAGGCAGAGGCTGCAGTGAGTCGCTACTGCACTCCAGCCTGGCTGACAGAGTGAGACTCCATCTCAAAAAAAAAAAAAAAAAAAAAAAAAATCACTGAGCAAACCAGGCGCGGTGGCTCACGCCTGTAATTCCAGCACTTTGGGAAGCTGCGGCAGGTAGATCACCTGAGGTCAGGAGTTCGAGACCAGCCTGGCCAACATGGTGAAAACCCGTCTCTACAAAAATACAAAAAATTAGCCAGGCGTGATGGTGGGCGCCTGTAATCCCAGCTACTCGGGAGACTGAGGCAGAAGAATTGCTTGAACCCGGGAGGGGGAGGTTACAGTGAGCCTGAGATCTTGCCATTGCACTCCAGCCTGGGCAAGAAGAGCAAAACTCCATCTCAAAAAAAAAAAAAAAATCACTGAGCAAAACGGATACTTATGGGAGATATGACACATTTAGCCTGTAGTTTGAGACCTCCTATCACACAAACACTGGAAGTTGATACCAGTCAATTTCCGGTCACACCCCCAAATACCTGCCCTATTAAGAAGTGTGTGACAGTAGAAGAAATAATGGAAATTAAATCAACATTATTAGGGCCTGAAAATATTTACAAAGTGATGGGAAATGGTAGGTCCGAGGAAACTTGAAGAATACAGGCTATTTCTCTAGAAAACGTTTCTGAAGACAGGTGGTAGGTCTGCTACAGCAACATCCCATCCATAGGGTGACAAATGATAGAAATTTATTTCCTCACAGTTCCGGAGACTGGAAGTTTGGGATCAAGGGTTGATTTCGTCTGAGGCTTCTCTCCTTTTCTTATAGCTGGCTGTCTTCATGTTCACATGGTGTTCTCTCTGTATATATGTCTGTGTCTACACTTCCTGTTCTTATAAGAACACCAGTTACATTTGATGAGGGCCCACCTTAATGGCCTTATTTACAAATACAGTCACATTTTGAGCTACTAAGGGTTATGACGTCAATACATTAATTGGGAGAGGGACGAAATTCAACCCATAATTGACAGCTAGAGGGAAAAAGAGGTTCTTTTTTTAACTGGTTTTGGGTGCAGAGGGAGGAGGTTGCTAGTGGAGGTTGTTGTCATTGTCCCAGTAGCATTAGGGCAACTTGAACAAAGTCAGCACAGGGTCTGGGGCAGCATAAGAAGATTACATGAACTAGAAGTAAAGCTACCAGCTGTAATGGAAAGCTCTAAGGGTGATGGCTCAGTTGTGTTTTCCTCTAACACAGTGGTTCTCATCCCTGGGTGATTTTGCCCCCAGGGGACATTTGACAACGCCTGGAGGCATTCTTGATTGTCACAGACGGAGCTGTGCTATAGGTATCGAATGAGTAGAAGTTAAGTATTTCGCTCACCATCTGCAGTGCACAGGTCGCCCCCACAACAAAGATTTTTCTAGCCCAAAATGTCGCTAGTGCTGAGGCCCAGAAACCCTTCTCCAGGAGGTGATAAAAGGCCAGTGAAAGATGTTAACAAGCGGGTGGCTGAACTGACAGACACTCTGGCTATACTATATAGTGACTTCATGGTATGTCAGAAAAGAAGCAAATACATTTAGTAGCTACTTGTTGATGCTGACACCTTTACTCACAAACTTGGCTAATCTCCAAAAACATACTAGCTGCTGAGGGTATAGCAGTAGAGGAGAAATAATCTTCAAGGGGCTATAATCTAAAGGGGATATGATACTGAATCATTTTATGACTTTCATAACATTTTCATATTTGTTTTAACATGATACAAAATATGGGGAGAAGAGTGAGGCCTCCAACTCCAAGTTCTCTAATTGGATATAAGTCAATCATTCTATACAAGACTAAATATGTGGAATAACATTTTTCACATCTTTCTTTCCCATCTCTTGCCGCTGAGTACATGCCAGTTATTCAAGAATGATTCTCCTGCTTTCCCTTTAAAATTATCTCTTCTCTCTGTTTTTAAATATTTATTTCCTTTGCTTTTCACCTGGAACATTTGCTGATTTTCTTTCTCAGACTGCACAAACCATGATAATGGCCAGCAAGGATGGAGGGAGCGTATGAGATGTGCGAGGCAGTGTGCTACGTCTCAGCCAACTCTAGGAGGTAAGTGTATTTGCTGTGGTAAAATATATATTTGGTCTTCATTTCCGTTTTCCTGGCATACAATTTCTAAAATGCTTAGAATCACCAAAATGATGTATTTTGTATGCTAATGAGTTTACTGTTGAGTGGCAGCCCTTAGGTGGCTTCAGGGTGGAAACTGGTCATTGTGAAGACCAAGGCAGGATTAGAGGGCTAGGACTTTCAGCCCCATCCCCTAACCTCCAGGGAGGAGAGAGAAGCTGATGGCTAACTTGATCACCAATGGCCAATGATTTAATCAATCATGCCTACATAATGAAGCCTCCATAAAAACCCAAAAGGTCTGTGTGTGGAGAGTTCTAGATCATTGAACACGTGGAGGTTCATGGAGGGTGACGCTTCAGGGTGGGCACCAAAGCTCCAAGCTCGTTCTCCTGTACCTTGCCCTGTACATCTCTTCATCTGCATCCTTTGTCATATCCTTTATAGTAACTGGTAATCCTGAGTAAGGGGTTCCCTGAGTTCTGCGAGCCACTCTATCAGATTAATAAACCTAAGAAGGGGGTCATGGGAACCCCAATTTTTAGCCAGTCAGAAGCACAGGTAAAATAAGCTGGGGCTTGCAATTGGCATCAGAAGTTGGCGGGGGCACAGTATTGGAGACTCAACCCTTGACCTGTGGGATCTGATGCCGTCTCCAAGGAGACAGTGTCAGAATTGAATGGAATCGAAGGGCACCCCGCTGGTGTCGCCTGTAGAACTGATTGCCTGCTTGTTGGTGGGAAGAAATCCCTTGCATACTTGGTCACAGAAGTCTTCTCTGTTGATTGTTGTATTAGAGCAGGGGAAAAACAAGTTGAGTTTTTCCACACTCAGTATGATAATGGTCTTTATTTCATAGAGTCAGAAACTAAGAATTGGAAACATTAATAAACTTGCCCAAGGCCACATAGCTAGTGGCTGGTTATGGTAGATATTATACTCATTCAACTCCCATTCCATATTCTCTTTGGAAAAATTGGAGTGCTAAAAGCCACATGTCCCAGACCATTTTGCATCT